TGGCATTGAAATGGCCTGACATTGCTCTGCCCAGCAGGGATGATCCGTCCTTGGTAGTGTCTAACCAGTCCAATCAGATTCTCCAGGCTTGGGAGTGAGGATGTCAGACAAAGAGAGAAAGGGCAGCTGACAGTGTGGGTAGAAGGGAAGAGACACCAGAGAAGAGGAGAAAGCTTAAAAATCCATAAGTCAGCAGACCCTGAAGCAGAGAAAGGAAGAGAAAGACCCAGTTGGGAGAGAGGAGCAGAAAAAGCAGCAGCAAGTTGAAGAAGAAGCCACAGTCAAAAAGGAACTCTTGAGAGTCCCTTGGACAATAAGGAGTTCAAACCTGTCAATCCTAAAGGAAATCAACCCTGAACAGTCACTGGAAGGACAGATGCTAAAACTGAAGTTGCAATACTTTGGCCACCTGATGCAAAGAGCCGACTCATTGGAAAAGACCCTGATGCTGGGAAAGATTGAAGGCGGGAGGAGAAGGGGATGACAGAGGATGAGATGGTTGGATGGCATCATCAACTCAATGGACATGAGTTTGAGCAAATTCCAGGGGATAATGAAGACAGGGAAGCCTGGTGTGCTGCAGTCCATGGGGTCTCAAAGAGTCAGACAAGACTGAGTGACTGAACAACTCCCTTAGGGGATCTTGACATCACTGCTTTGATCAGTGGAATGAATGCTTATGTCATTTCAAACGTGTTTTAAGGGTCAAAGCATAGTTCATCATATTTGTTTCATTTGCCATGACAATCAGCAACATCTTAGAGAAAGGCTGCTGTCAGCCTGAAGTCCGGAGCAAAGACCACATGGAGCAGAGAGCCACAGCTGGTGGAAATGTTCGTTGTTTGTGTAACACAAGTGAGAAACCATCAATGTTACAAGCTTCTCAGATTTGAGGGGTGTTTTTTCCAGCCTAAACTGATTTTTTTTTTAAAGCCTAGGACTTCCCCGGTGGCACAGTAGATAAGAATCCACCTGCCAATGCAGAGGACTCGGGTTCTATCCCTGGTCTGGAAAGATTCCACATACATAGGAACAACTTAGCTCATGTGCCACAACTATTGAGCCCACGCTCTGGGGCCCACGAGCTTCAACAAGAGAATCCACCACAACAAGAAGCCCGTGCGCCCCAATGAAGAGTAGCCCCCACTCACGGCAACTAGGGAAGGCCCTCCCAAAGCAATGAAAACCCAACAAGCCAAAATAAATAAATAAAAATTTAAAAAGAAATATCAGTATCTAAAATAAATAAATAAAATAGGTTTTCTTTTTTTTGTGTGACAAAGCCCAGTAACCAAGGTAACCCAAGCATCTTTCTCTCTCTTGCAAACCCAAAGAGCCTCAGCTATAGCATTCTATAGCCAGCTATGCTTCAGTGACCTCACAGCCTATTCTTTTGACCTTGGTGGAGTGAAATTGCATTCATTACTGGAAGAGAGTCAGTGACTTTCTAATGCGAGTTGTTCCTCGTCCCCATCTTCAATCCTCTAGTCTGTCTCCTATATGTGTATCCAGCATAAAAACTGGTACAAAATACGGTCTGATTTCTGCCTTTTTCTCTTTGGGGTTTGAGTCTTTTATGATTTGTTCTCCTCCCCCATTGCCCCTCCCCTCAATTTTTTCCAGCATGTAGAAGAATTGGAAGAATTTCAGAGTAAACACCCGGGTGTTTACCACCTAGATTTCATGGTTACCACTTTGCTTTGTTTGCTTCATCACTATCTGTACATCAGTCCATCAACTCATCCCATTTTCCATCTGCCTTGTTTTCTTGGATGCACAACAAAGTAACTTGCAGGTTCATGATGGTGTGATGATGTCTTATCCCTTGACACTTAAGTCTTTTTCCTTTTAATTCTGGACTTTTTTCAAAAAATTGTTTTTTAACTTTGTATAAGGTTGCCTTAACTGATCACCCTGCTTGCCCAAACTTGGACATTTTTTTTACCCTTTAACAATCATGAACTCGGTGTATTGTCTACATTACATTAACCCTGGGTGCCCATACTGTCTTAATCTCACTCTTTAATTTTTCTCTCTATTACTTCCTCTCTTATCTCTTCACTCACCACAACTTTTCATTTGCTTTCCCTTCTCCCTTTCAGCTCCCTGAAGATAATTTTTAAACTAAACAACGGCTGAACAATATCCCCACTGTTCCATGTGTCTGAGTATGCACAGCACGTCCACACTTGCCCAGGACAGAAGGAAAACACAATTTCTTCCATTTTATTTCTTTGCATCAAAATGATTAAATCTGTCTGCATGACCTTCATACATCAGACCATTTGGCTATTTTAAGTCTTTTTAATGGAGTAAGTCAAGCTGCATTCCCTTCATAGAAGGAATCTTTACCACCAAACGGTGCACTAAATGCCAAGGGAACAAAGAGTCTTTTGTAGGGAGAGAGGGAGAGACACTGCCATCCTACAATTGCTGGATTGTTTTAATTATTAGATGGCAATTCATGCTAGATACATATTTGCATTGTTGTACAAGTATTTTCTTATTTTGATGAAAGATAGCTTTTCAAAGGGAATCCTACTCTTGCAGTGCAAACTTAGAAAACCCTATTACATGGTCTAGTGCATTTAATTTTATTACTGTGGCCTTCAGTGTTTCAATTTTTTAATAAAAGTCTATCAGCAGTGAGGTAAAAGACTGCAGAATCTCCAGCAACTCAGGCACCTCTATATTTTATTTACTAACAGCTGTAGTAAAGCTTTCAGTGAAAAATCTTAAGTAGCACTTCCCTTTTTGATGAGAATCAATTACACAGCAATATTTTAAACCTTATCTAAGCTTATAAAGCTAATTTGGCTATTTCAAAGTAAAGGGTGGTGGGGGGGAACAGAAGAAAAATATTTCTCCTAATAAATAAAATATTAGAAGAAGAAAGTGAAGAGGAATTGTCTAGAATTTATTAGCAATGCCTACTTATAAATGTCAGAATTCTTGTACAGAAGTTTTTTCTTGATTTTTTGCTTGAATTGAATGGGGAATGCATTCATTCACTTACTCACCAGTCATTGATCACTTGCTCTGTGCCAGATACTCAGTTAAGCACTGGGAAGATAAAGAAAAAGAAGACACATGCCCTGTCCTCAGAGTTTATAGTTTGGTAGAGGAGTTGGACATGTGGGCTAGCAGTTATGTTACAGTCACATCTGAGTTGCTATAACAGAGGGTCACACAGAACCAATGGTGGCGGGGAGAGGAGAGCTTACTCTAAACTGAATAGGCTAAGAATGCTCAGAAAGGCTTCCAGGAGACATCTTGAAAGACAAATGGAGTTAGCCAATGGGAGAAGAAAGGAATTAGTTAAGAAATTAGTTAAAACTCTTTCTGTTGGAAGCTATAAACAAAACAAACTGGCAGAGTAGGAAAGGGGGAATATATTGGCATATGAAAGGCTTCAGGCATAGTTGGATCAAGGGTCTGGTATGGTGTCATTAGAGATCTGCCATTGGTGGTCTATTCTTCTTCCTTACTAATAAAACCCCAGATTTGTTCACTCTCATTAGACTTGTTGTGCCCTTCAGGAATGGCAGGGCTTAACTAATTTTATTTTTACTGATCCAGTTTCGAAACAAGGTCATGTTCTTAAGTGTTGGAGGTTAGGACTTCAATATATGAATATGGGGCAGAGGGTGGGCGGGGGGAGGGGCGCGGGAGGAGACACAGTTCACCTCATTACCCCCTGCCTTTCTGTTTTTCCTCTCTTGGATTTCTTGCTGGTATCTCCAGTGACTGGACCCAACAAGAGAGTAAACAAGCCTCGTTGATACGAACCATAAAATCAGCTTCGTAAGGCACAGAGCGAGGTGGAGAAGGATGCACCTGGGAGGGTGAAGAGAGAATTTCCAACAGAGTCTCTGTCTTGCCTTCACTCTTTGGAAGGACCTCTTCACATGGTAACCAACAACTGGGTCTCAGCCCCTGCTATNCAAATGAGGCTGATTTTTCTTTACTTATCAAGATATCCAGAGTAGGTCAGCTGCAAGCTGGTACATTGACTTAAGGAAGTCATCAGAGGCCCAGGTTCTTTCTAATCTCCTGTTTTGGGCCTCTTGGCTGGTAAGTGCTGCTTTGCTTCCAGCCCCACATCTGTGTTCCAGATGGAAAGACATGGAAGGAGACTTTAGGGAAGAGAGCAGTAGAAATTGGGAAAGTAGCATTGTTTCAGAAATCTATGGGGCATGTCAATTTTTGTCTCAAATAGCAGAACTATGTCTTATGGCTGTCCCTTGCTACATGCTATTGTTGTTCTGTTGTCTGACTCTGTGACCCCATGAACTGCAGCACGCCAGACTTCCCTGTCCTTCACTGTCTCCCTGAGTTTGCTGAAACTCATGTCCATTGAGTCAGTGATGCCATCCAGTCCTCTCATCCTCTGTCTCCCCTTTCTCCTCTTGCCGTCAATCTTTTCCAGCATCAGGGTCTTTCCCAGTGAGTCAGCTCTTCACATCAGGTGGCCAAAGTATTGGAGCTTCATGGGAGGTGGGGAAATGTAGTTTTCCCCCTGGACTGATTGTTACTAGGCTTCTGGTAGTAAGGATGAAGTGGAGAGGGCCTATTAGGTGGGCAGCAAGCCAGGGTCAATGTACTGGCCAATGGCACCCGGACCTGATGTACTGACTTCTGAGGATTTGAGTGGAATGGGGGAAAGCAATAAATATATTTACTCCAAGACAATGTCTAGATTTAAATAAATCCTTCTGATGCAAGTCCAAAATACATGTAATAAGGCTTCTACTATGTGCCTTGTGTTTTATTCGTTTTGGCTAATATAGTCAGAAAAGATGCTTACCCCAAGATGACTGGAGAAATGTCATCAGTATTCTTTACTTTGCCTGAGTTATTGTTTCTTGATGTACTTATAATCTTCATCAAGGGCTTATGCATATTTCATCTAACACAAGCAATAAATTAACCCCTATTCCTTTGTCCTACTTAAATATGTGGGCAAAGAATATAATTTAATTCTCTTATTCTCTCTTTAGAGGAAAAGAACCAAATTCATTGCCTGTGATTTTCTGACTGAATGGTTATACAAGTAAGTTTTTCAGTCTTTCAATATTCAGTGACCCTAAGAATTCAATAGTGTTAATTTGCCAGCAGAATAGCAATAATTGACTTGAGTTCTTGCTTATTGTTTTCTTGTCAATCAAACATGGTGTTGTGGCCAGTCAAAATCCAAAGAGGACAGGGGAGCCGTTCACAGAATTCTTCTCCATTCCATTTGTGGAAGAGTGGCTGAAACTGCAGTAAGTAATGGCACAAGGCTTTGAATAATTTATTCTTAACTTTAAGATTGTGTTAATGATTGTTTCCTCCAATCTAAGAGAACTAACTTATGTAATCCATCCAGGACTCCGGGTCAGTTACACATGTGGGTCTTTTCTCTGGTTAATTTTAGCTAAGGGCATCCTATCCATGCAGTGATTATTCAAGAAACCCTTCAGAAATAAAATAGAAAATCTAAAACATTTCTTATCTTAAGTAATTAATCTTTCCATTTTGTCTCCCTTTCCACCTAGCCCCAAAGGTCATTATGTCTTATGACCAAACTTTTCTAAATTTTAGCTTTTAGTTATATGCATCAGTTCTACATTTAAAATATTAGAACATGACACATAAAGTTAACACTCTATTTGACTGTCATTCTAATCTGAGTCTTATCACAGAATTAATGTTGGTCTATATTTCATCCCTCTGTAGTTCTTAAAATTAGTTATTTAACTGTATAAACAGATTATATCATACAAAATTAGTAGTATTGCTTTATGGGAACTGTTTATCATCAGTGATAAAGCAATAATGACAAAAGTGTGAAGTGAAAGTGTTAGTTGCTCAGTCATGTCCGACTCTGAGACCCCATGGATTGTAACCTGCAAAGTTCCTCTGTCCATGGAATTTTGCAGGTCAAAGTACTGGAGTGGGTTGCCATTCCCTTATCCAGGGGATATTCCCAACCCAGTGATCGAACCCAGGGCTCTTGCATTGCAGGCAGATTTTTTTTTGCTATCTGAGCCACCAGGGAAGCCCTAGTAATGATGACAACTAACGTTTATTGAGTGCTGTATGACTGGTCTCAGCATTTAATGCCAATGAACTAACTTGATCCTTATAACAATGCTATTACCAGCCCTGTTTTGCAGATGAGAAAATTTATGCATTATCCTGCAACTTGCTTTTATTTGACTAAAATACATTTTGAGATCTAGCATGTTTATTTAATTACATCTGATTCATGCCATTGATATCTTTATAGTGTATGTCATTTCTAGATTTGCATTATTTGTTCATTCATACAATACATGTTTATTGAGTCCTGTTGTGTGCCAAACATCATTCTAGGTGTTGGAGATAGAGTGGTGAACAAAGCAGCTAAAACTCATGCCTTAATGGAGCTTATATTCTGGTGGTGGATAATAGATGATAAGCAAAGAAATAAGCGCACTATAAATAAGTGCTTATAGGGAAAAATGAAGCAGAGAGGCAGGAGTATAGAGTACTGAGGGGGACCTAATTTCATATCGTGTGGTCAGGAAAGACCTTACTTGGAAGATGACATTTAAGTAGTGATCCATAATTTTAAGCCAAAAGTGGAAGAACGACTACTCAATTTAGAGAGAATAATATTTAATCTATTCTTTGGAAATGTTTCACATCAGCCCTTTGTAAGAACAATGGCGGGAAACTGAGGCACCAGGAAATTAAGCAAGGTTTGTAAAATCCCATATCAAACAGAATATGAAACATGAAATTAGACACCTAGCCCTCAAATATCACATCTTTTGCTTAAATCTGCCCTTCTGGGGAATGCTAAATTGAATAGATTCTTGACTGACTTTCTCAAATTTGAGAGTTTGAGGATTTACTAGTTTTTAAAAATCTGAGACTATACATTGAAAGGAGGATGATATTAGAAGATCTTGTTTCTTATTAAGCTTCTAAGCTTGTACCTAATTTAGTCCACTATGAAAATGAAAAGCCTTTGTTGACTATAAATGATCAGTAAGTGAAGGATTTGCATATGTTTTTCTAAGACAAGGTTTTTTATATCTTTCTCCAAATTGAAAATGAAACATTTTTTTTACTTGCAATAACCAGTGACAAAGAATCTGAAAAATAAGAGAATTTCTCCAGATGAGTTCTCTCAAATCCCTAGTCATTTGCCGTACAAATACCTAAATTTAAAATTGTTGCTAACTTCCGCTGGCAGCTCATATAAATATCCTGCAAAGTAGCGATTGCAAGTATATCAGCAGGACTCCATAGGAGCAAAAACATAACAGCTCTTGATTTAAATGCTATGTGTTCTCTGCTTTACAAAGGGGTTCCCAGAGCATGGTAAAAATTTAAATGATACTAATCTAGTTTGCTGCAATAAATATTTATTGAACACCTCCCAAATGCAATGCAGAGCTTGGTGCTGTTCAGAAACAGAGATGAATAAAATACGGTTCTGACCCTCGGGGTGAGAGAGATGTGTTTACAACCAGCTATAGATTCTGTAGTGAGTGTTGTAAAACAGATGTTAACAAAGCCTTCAAGGGAAATGCAGACGTACAAAACCATCTATGCTCCACCCACTCCACCCCCTAGCAGGCCTGGCACCAGGCAGGTGGGGCCAGTGGTCAAGCTGGTTGGTGCCCAGATGTGGTCTTGAAGAGGCCAGACCTCAGGGGCTACGTCCTTCTTGAGAATGCTCGTGAGCAGGGAGAGCAGAGAGCCAGGTCAGGTAGGAGATGATCTCTAATCCAGGTTTCCCCAGCCTCGGCCCTACTGACATTTGATTGTTGTTGCTGTGGACATTTGCGCGTGCGCGTGTGTGTGTGTGTGTGTATGCACGCGCGCTCAATCACTCAATCCTGTTGGACTCTTTGCGACTCTGTGGGCCACCAGGCTCCTCTGTCTGTGGGATTCTCCAGGCAAGAGTACTGGAGTGGGTTGCCATTTCCTACTCCAAGGGATCTTCCCAGCCCAGGGATGGAACCTGCATCTCCTGCATTGACATTTGCGCGCGCGCGTGCATGTGTGTGTGTGTGTGTGTGTGTGTGTGTGTGTGTGCACGCGCGCTCAATCACTCAATCCTGTTGGACTCTTTGCGACTCTGTGGGCTACCAGGCTCCTCTGTCTGTGGGATTCTCCAGGCAAGAGTACTGGAGTGGGTTGCCATTTCCTACTCCAAGGGATCTTCCCAGCCCAGGGATGGAACCTGCATCTCCTGCATTGCCAGGCAGATTCTTTACCTCTGAGCCACCTGGGCAGCCCTGTTGGCATTTAGCACTGGGCAATTCTTCTTTGCTGAGGGCAGGGGTGTCCTGTACACAGTAGCATGTTTCATGGCATAGTAGCGCCCCCTGCAGTCTGTCTCCGTATGCTGCCAAATGTGGGATGTGGGGAGACAGAAGGGACCCCCTTGGCTGAAAACTTGTGATTGAATCCAGAGGGAACAGTGAGAGGAAATCTGAGGGGGGAAGAGAGAAAAGCTGAGAAAGTTCATGGTCGGCGCTGTCCTGGTCGTTCGTGTGGATGTGAAGGCATCTGCTGAGAGGGAGGCCCAGGCAAGTTCTGAGGCTTGTGGTTGCGGAGAGGAGACGGCAGCAGCTGCTATGGTGAAATTGATAGGGAACCAACTAGGATAAATAGGGATGGCCCAGCTGATGGCCTGAATTTGTGATGCATATAGCAGCATGTTTAGGAGATTATTTCCAGCAACCCTCTGCAATCCTGGAAAGCGGGTGGAGGAAACAGATGGTTGGGAAGACTCAGGATTGAAGACTGGCAAAGCTAATATAGCAAAAGGTCTAGACTAGGCCCAGAGGATTGTTGGGGAGGGAGAAATTTCCCCCTACCTTTCTAGGTTCTCGTTGGTGTAAGAATTAAATTGACAGGAGACAGATTATCAGAAGGAAATCAGACAAAAATTTCATAACATGTGTTCACGGGAGAGACCTAAGAGAACTGAGTAACTTACTAAAATGGCTGAGAACCTCACCTTAAATACTGTCTTCAGCTAAAGACAAAAGATGTTAAGGGTAGGGATCTGGGACTTCAAAGGGGAGGAAGGCAATTGACACGAAGCTGGAAAAGCAAATGTTTGGTAAATAAATGTTGCAGCGGCCCTACAGAGACAATGGGACAGAGAATGACCTCTGATCTCTACGTTTCCCTACCACACCTCACCCACATTCTCTGCAGACTTCTCTGGTGATAACTATTCCAGGCACAGGCCCTCTATCTAAATTCTTTCAGCAGTTAGGAGGAAGGTCGAAGTTTCTTCCTGAGCCTTCTGGGCCTTGATTATGGCAAAAGAGGCATTTTGGGGCTGCAAATTTTGTTTGCCTACAGGATCTTAGGGATGGGAAAACATTGTTAACTTCTCTAAGAATAGCATCTTAACAGTTTTCTCATGAAGTACCATATTTTCTGAATTGTGTTAATGTTTAACAATCAATTTTCAGAAAGAGGAAGAACACTACATGACGTGTTCACATCGGAAGTAACCAACTTGGAAGCACTAAAATGGGAATGGTAGGGTCCATACAGTTTTAGAAATTTCAATGAATCTTATTTGAACCCTGATTCAAAGAAACAAATTAGAAAGAAAAATTAGGAGCCAGTTGGAAATTTGAATACTTAATAAATAATTGATGATATAGAGAATTGTTACACACAATGATTTCATAGTCATGATTAAAAAGTTTACTTTTTAGAGAAACATGCTGAAATACTTAGGAAGTTATGAATGAAATATATAACCTTATGATGTCAATGGATAAAGCTGGGGGAAGTTACATTGAGTGACTGAAATGGAGAAGAATATAATTAAGTCTGAATGGTGACCTGGGTTCATTTTTTTTCCTGCCAACTTTAAATATATTTATTTATTTGGCCTCACTTTGTGGTATGTGAGATCCTAGTTTCTCAACCAGGGATGAAACCCACACTGGGAACAGAGCAGTCCCAACTGCTGGACCACCGAGGAAGCCCCTCTGCCTACTTTTTATATCTGAGATGTTTGATAATAAAACACTAAAAGGAAGAGAAATAACAAGATGCTTCAAAGCTCCTTGTGAGCAGCTGATTGAATAGCGGACGGGCTGTGTCAAGGAGGCATCTATTGACTGACAGTGAACCGGGAAGGCTGTGAGCTTTTCTCCACTGGAGATGGCCGGAGTGATGGCAGAGGAGACTGAGTTTTCACATGATTATGACGAGAGGCTCAAGTTACGTGGAAGGAAAATGGCCCTGGGGT